AGACAATTGGTGACTCTCTTTTCTGCCCCAAATTACTGTGGAGAATTTGATAACGCAGGTGCCATGATGAGTGTGGATGAAACCCTAATGTGTTCTTTTCAGGTATTGTATCTGACAACTTTACCTCCTAGTTACTGCAGTCACACTTCAGATTCCCTCTTTCCATTTATCCGTACCATCACAAAACTGTAGCACTGCTTCCGATAGATCTCACAGATACCAAATGTAGGCAGAGCTGTGTTTGCCCTTGTGGCCTTAATGCAGTGAGCCCTGACTGGTGTGATGAACCGCTTGACCCTGGGATTAAATCGCTGGAGCAAAGCTATCAGCTGTCTTCCTGCTTCCACTGGCACGGGCTTTCTGGTCAGCTGCTCTAAGGCCTGCCAGAGCTCAGAGCAGAAAATCTATTTACTTCAGAGGCTTTCGAGCCGCCCGGATGATCTGTGTAAAAGGCCTAATGCTAGCAAATGGATTGTTGGGGTGTGAGACTGCTGGCGGCTTTCCTTAAAGGCTGAACTGTCTCTTTCAGATTTTGAAACCCGCAGAGAAGAAGAAGCCCAACGCTAGCAGACCCGTAACACCTCCCAGGAGTATGATCACAAAGCAAGCAAAGAAATAGTCCACGTGGTACTGCCTGGCTGGGACTTGTATCATAATATGTAACCTTCATTTTTAAACTGTAACGTGTACTGTTCAGCTTGCTCAAAATAGAACGTGTTTGTGGTTTCCCTTTTGATTTGATGAATGGCATTTGCTGGTTGTAGCAGCAAATGAAGGACTTTTCTCCCTTCTAGGAAAAGAGTTTTAAACTTTCCTTCTGTTGGTGTTCCCGCTGTACACTCCAGCATTTATCCTGTCATTATGGGTAACTGTACAACTGACTTTCTCAATCTGTACGACGAGTAGTGTAAATGCTTGTTTTCTCCTTTAGGATCTAAAGAGGGCACTAGTGTGCTGTGAGAGTAGGGCTTTGTTACTGTCGGAGATTACATTGTTTATACAAACCACTGTGAACTTTTTTTACGTTAAAATTTGTTTTAAAGGGATTGCTTTTCTTTTTATGTCTTGTCCTGTACACGTTGGTTTTATCGCTGTCAACATTAGAAATAACCTTCAACCTCCCCAGCATCACTGGTATGATGTATATTTAATGAAAACACACATCCCTGTCCTTTAAGTGACAACTAAAGCCATTATTTCAAGTGTTCGTGTCTTTCCTGAAGCCAAAGTCTGCATAGAGATCTGTGTGTACACGACCCACCGCACTGAGCTGGCAGGGCTTTCCATTCATGCCTTCCTCGTGGAGAGAAAAGGAAGTCTGGACTTGAAGTAGCGAGTAGAAATGCTGTGCTGTTTGTTCTATTCACAGTAAAACACAATTTTGTACAGTTTCTGTATGCTCTATCAAACGGACTTCTTACAGTTGCATCAGGCCCGTGTCAGACAGCTGGAAGTTACGGAAACGGCTCCACGTCTGCCCGAATGGCTTGGAGCATTGTGGCCTAAAGACTTTGTTCTACGGAGGCGCCCAGGAAGCAGCTGGAAGAGCCAACCCGAGGCATCGATCAGCAGTTTATACAGATACCTCACGGTATCTCGTTTTTTAAGACTTTTTTGAACAGATGACAGTGTACAATACCATGTAGTGAAAATCGCTTATTAAATGAAGAAATTGTTAACTCCTCTCGGTGTCGGTTTATCACAGCGTGTGCACTACTGCTATCAGAGGACATGACTTAGAGAAATAAATCGTTCTGGAAACACACACCCTTCTGGTTTGGATTTGTCTGAGCTGCACACACTAGAGCTGTGCCTCTGAATTCTAGATAAAGAAAGTCGGTGTGCTTTAGCACTGCTGTTACGTTACCAAGGTTTGGTACACATGCCAACTGCAGCAGTTTGCTGTGGGAGGAAATAGGTCAGGTGCAGCATGGGCAGCCTGCTGTCCTGCTCTGCTGTCTGTGTGCATCTCTCACCTGCTCCCGTGTGCTTTGCAGCAGTAGAGCTGGACGTGGAGGTGACTGGGGCGGTTTGTTGGTGTCAGGGCTGTGCAGGGCCTGCGGGTGCCGCTCCATTTGGCACTGAAACATCTGCCCTGGGTCAGCCACCAGCTCTGCTCTGGCATCCTGCTCATCAGATCAGTTTCTGCTCCTTTCTCCTGGAGTGAGCTGAACTTTGTTGATGAGAACGCAGTGGGCCGGGCCCAGCTATTGATCTTCACATTTTGAAATGCACTGCTCAGCTAAATCTAAGCATTTTCCTACTCAGATTTTTGCTTTCTAAAAGTAATTAATCAAGCTGCCTCTGTAAGCCTCTGTAACCGTTCATGGCCCCATCAGATTAGGTGTTGGATTGGCTGGAAGAGGGCTTTCTCACAATGTGCTTTCACCTCTTAAATCACATTTGTGGTTTTCTTGATAGCTTTATCATTTTTCTACCACTGCATAAAATAGTGGTGTGCATTGTTACTCATCTGGTTATTAGAGAACATGCAGAACCAGCTCTCACTACAGGAATGCACTGACCCATCTGTGCAGCAGCCTTCGTTGGTGCGTCACACCTTTTTCCCCTGACTGCAGCTCTGCCCTCAGATGTGGCTTTAGTGACACACCACGCCTATTCTGGGCTCTGTTTTCTGCCTGACTGCATTCCCCAGGCGGCAGCTGCTGGGCTGAAGGAAGTCCCAAAGCACGCTGTGGCGGTGGGGAAGGTTCATGCCCTCTGTGTTTGTGTCCCTGGTTTGCTTTAGGATTTGTCGACCCTGTGCTGTGATGTGAAGCTGCAGCACTGTGAAATGAAGAACAAAGCATTCATTTTGCATGCAGTGCAGCGCAGGACCGGACTAAAGGCACTCAGGCCGTACAGGAGGCTACGGGAGTTTCAGCAACGTCTGCCCTGGTGTACACAGCATCCTTTACATCCAAGTTTCATGCTGAACAACATGAATTGTTGAATGAGAAGTGGATGTAAGAGAGCGCTTTTGGATGCGGCAGCGTCAGGCCTGAGTCCTGCAAAGCAGCCAAAAGCAGACGGGCTGGGGAAGGCTTCAGGGCAGGCAAGGCTGCAGTGCAGGTGCTGGAGATGGGCTGAGCTCCCTCGTGCTGTTGGCTCACACGGGGTTGTGCAAAGCGGTTCCTATTCAAAGCATTGCCTCGCAGAACGTGACTCTGAGCACGTTCTCTCTGGGGACCTTGGGGAGTGCAGGTCTTTTTCTTTGTCAGATGCAGCCCAAGCCCTTCCTTTCAGCATCCGCGCTCTCCGCATGTTCCGCTTAGGGTGCAGGTGGCCAATGCTGAGCATCCGCAACAGCCCAGAGGCTGCTGACCTCCTGCAGCCCAGCACACCATCCTGACACATCCCAGTGCAGGGAGGCGCATCCTGCGATTAACAAGGTTACAAGCACTGTTACTATAAAAAGAAAACACTACATACACTCACTGCATGTATATTTTCTAGAGTGACTGCCTTCAGCAAATGGATTAAAAATAACTAGTCGTAGAATGGTTGGAGTCAGAAGGGACCCCCAAAGGCCGTCTGCTCCCACTGCTCGCAGTGCACAGGGACACCCACAGCTCCAGCAGTGCTCACTGCCCCGTCCCCTGACCATGGCTGTGTGCACCAGCTCTCTGGGCACCCCGTGCAGTGCCTCACTGCGCTCAGGGTCAAAACTTTTGCCTTGTATCCAATCTAAATCTCCTTTTAATTTGGTAGAATCAGCCAGCTGTGATGAGGTGTGTTTTGGCAATAGAAGAACATGGCTGAGCTGACAGTAAATCCTCAAGAGCTGCTCTGAGCATTCTTGGCCTTGTTGTCCATTCCCCCCCCGAAAAAAAAAGTTGTCCCCAAGCTGAGGAGCAATGACAATTTGCCCCAGCATGGATCAGAGCTGGTGGAGGCCCCGTTCCACAGTGAGACTGGAGCTGATGACAGCCAGGAGCACAAGGTACTTCTCTGACCCACAGAGCTTAACCTGCATTCCCCATCCTGTCGGCTGACTCAGCTCTCACGCAGCACAGCAGCTGGCTGTGTTTTCTCCTTAAATCCTGCACTCCTTACCAAGAACAGATTTGGGTCTGCAGGGCACTCACGAGGAAGCACTGCTGTCTGCAGCTTCAGTCCTGAGCTGGTGCCTTCTTGCATTTGCTGATTGCGTTGGTGTTTTGGGGACCAGCTGAGATCAAATGCCTAAATGAGCTGGAAACGCCCAGGTTAAAGCTCCTCCTCCCTGCTGCTGCAGGGTCACACCTGTGCTGTTCTCTGTAAGTAGGTGCTTTGGGGAGGGGGCTCTGGGACTCTGCACTGGGCATTGCATGCACTGCTTCCCCTTCACCCTGGGGAATGGGCTGAGGACAGGGCTGTGTGCTGGGGTTAAGGTTCCGGGAAAAGTGTTAGGCTCTCCAGAAGGAAAAAGAAACAGGTAAAAACAGAGCTTTTGCTTGGTGGAGCACTGAGGATATTTTGAGTTCGTTGCAGCAGAGACTCCTCCCTGATCCTTTTGCAGCTGATTTTACTCGGTGCACTTCCCAAAGCAGCTGTGTTTGAAAGACGGTGGGTTCCCAAAGTAAGTAGGGCCCCTAAAAATTGAGGTGGATTAACAGTGGCCACGTTTCTCAGGTTTACACCGTTGTAATCCTCCTGATCCCGACCTCCGTCTGCTCCGTGGGACTGATCCGCACCCTTCAGCAGCTGAGTTCTGGTCTCAGCACTCGGGCTTCCCTTCTGTGCCCGCCCTCGTGTTGTTTTCTTGCAAAATGAGCACGCCGCTGATTTTGCAAAAAAAAAAAAAAAAGTTTAGGAAAACAAACCCAAAGTTAACATCCATTTGGTGTATCCTCTTCCTGCAGCTTCCGCTCATGGACGTCCATCGGGGCCGAACTGGGAAAAAAAAATGCTGCGAAAACGGAAAACGTCAGCAAGAAGGGAGCGAGGCTCCGTGCTGGGGGGGGGGGGGGTCGGTGGGGCCGGGCCGGGGCAGTGGGGCCGCCCTCGGCCGGGAGGGGCGGAGCCGGGCTCGGAGCTCCGCTGCAGCGGGAGGGAAGCGGCGGCAGTGGGACGCGCACGGTACCGGGGCTGCGGGGGCAGAGGGGGGTTGTGGGTCGGCGGGTCCTGGCCACGGCTTCCCAACGCGGGTCGAGGGTGAAGGTGTTGGGCGGACGTTCGTCTTCCTTTGGATCTTGGCCCCGTGTTGGCAACGTCTCGGCTTCGGTTCGGTGTCAACAGGGTGGAGAGGTTGGGGATAGGTTGGGTTGTCCTGTGCCGCAGTGACGGCTCTGGATCCTGTGACTGGCGGCCCCTCAGTTTGGTAGCTTCGAGCGTCGGCCCATGCTGGGCTCCTGGCCAGGAATGGATGGGGATGGGGATGCACTTATGCACTGGCATCAAGAGAGGGTTCTCAGTGGGTTGGTGGGCTGGGCGAGCTCGCCAAGTTGTCCAGAAGAGGAAGGGCTGTGAAAGGGGAACATAGGAGCAGTCAGAGCCCCTCCCGCAGCCCCATTCGATGTCAGGCCACATCCACGGGTTTGGGCTGGAGCTGGGGGTGATGCGAAGGAAGGGAAGTCACAGCTGTTGCGTGGGGTGAGAGGGACCAGGAGGAGCTGGGCTGAGGCCGCCTGAAGGGCTGAGGGAGGCTCTGAGTGCACAGCGAGGATCGGTCTCAATAAAGGCTGCTGCTGTTCTCCTGTAGCTGAAGTTTTGGGATGTTTGGAAGTAACGTGCTGAGGAAGAGCCTCGGAGTTCAGCAGTGCATGGAGCCCTGGGAGGTGTGGGGGGGTCATGTTGTGCCGTGGGCGGTGATGCAAAGCGAGCGGCAGCACCGTGTAGCGATTTCCCGTCCGCAGGCTTTGTTCTCAGAACGAAACGCCGCGCTCTTGTCGCGCTCACGGTGCTGAAACGGGAGATCTCGCGTCCCCGGGGAGGTGACGCTCAGCTCTGGTCCCGCAGGCAGGTGATGCTCGCTTGATCCGGAGCCATGTCCCGGTACCTGAAACACTTCACGGTGGTGGGTGATGACCCCGTACAGTGGAGCAACGATTATAAAAAGTGGGAGGAAGAGGACGAGGACAATGGGGAGAAGGATTCGGAGATCAAACTGGAGCCCTCCCGTGCCCACGTCACCTTCCAAGATGTGATGAAGAAGCTCTTCAGTTCGCGCAGGTTTCAGGTGAGGCAGGGTAAGCAGAGGCAAAGGGAAACGAGGCAAAACTCAGCCTGAAGGCACCTGTGGGAGCAGAAATGCTGTGGGATCGGGTGCAGGGTGGGAGCTGAGTGGTTTCCTATGGACTTGTGCCCATCTGCTGCACTTGGAGAGGTTCACCTGAGTTCTTCTCCAACAGATTGTCATTGTCTTCTTGGTCATCGTGGATGCCTTGCTGGTCCTTGGGGAATTGCTGATGGACTTGAAGATCATCCATCCAGACAAATATCACATAGCCCCAAAGGTAAAACACAAGAAAGGATCAAGAGGAATTGCTGTTTCCCTCTCTTTGGTGCTACAGAGCTTGCCAGAAAGCTGACCAGCCCATGGTCTGTGCAGCAGCTCTGTGTTTCCTTGGACTGAACAGAGCTGCATTGTGCTCACCACTCTTCTTCTCTGGTTCAGCCAAAGTCTATTGCAGAGCTCAGCCAGAGGTGCCCTCGAGTGGCAGAGGCTCCCAGCTTGCCCCACACACGTAGACAGGATGGTTTCCTAACTCTAAATCTGCACTTTCTTTTCACAGGTTTTCCACTACCTCTCCCTTTCTATTCTCACCATCTTCCTGGTTGAGGTGGGGTTTAAAATCTTCATTTATGGCCGGGAGTTCTTCCACCACAAGTTCGAAGTGCTGGACAGCATCGTTGTCGTCGTGTCTTTCATCCTCGACCTCGTCCTGCTCTTTCGGGAGCACGAGTTTGAAGCTGTGGGGCTCCTGATACTGCTGCGGCTGTGGCGTGTGGCCAGGATCATCAACGGTACGTGGCACAGGCTGGGTCTGCTGCCCTTCCCTCAGTTACCTTGCATGTTCTTTCCCACCTCAAAGAAAGAGCGCAGGGTCCTGTTCTCTCACCAAATTAACTTGTACTGGAGTGTGACCTTTGCGAGGCTGTCGTCTCTCTGGAACAAAAACAACCCATTGCTGGTGTGGGTGCGATGACTCGGTGACGGGCGCACAGCAGCACGTTCCCCTGCAAGCCACTGGAACGCTGTTCTTGCACAGCTCCCTCCTGAAGGGATGTGACGCACAGCGTTGTTTGCGTCGCAGGATCCTCTTGGCAGTGCTTTAGCAGGGAGCAAGGTGAGCTGCACCAGTGTGGGTTTGATGGCTCTGTCGCTCTGCTGCAGCTCTGTCATCCCCCCGGGGTGCTGCAGGGAACATCTTGATCTTCTGCTGGGTTTTTCTCGCTGGGAGGCAAAGGATTTGCTGTAAAAAGAGGAATACAAGATGTTCCCAAATCAGACCTTTCTGTTGGAATTATAAACTGTGGTGAACGGTTGTAAGTTCTGACACTTCTAAATTTGCCATAGCTGGAACCATTTCCTACCTTTGAAGAAAAGTCATTTTGTGATTTATTTATCTTTTTAAAGAATATACTGGTAATGAGCTTATCCCTAATTCCTGCATGAAACCATAGCCTGAGCATAGACCCCAGCCCTGTGCCTACAAATGCACTCCTGGTGAGGAGTGAGCCTCCTGAGCCTCAGGGCTGTAAGCCCTGTGAGTCGGAGTAGGAAGAAAAGAGATTCTTAGTCCCTCTAACTGGCACACTGGCACCTCTGGTGCCATTCTGATGGGGACAGTGTCTCTGGAGGCTGAGAGGAGATGAGAGCAACTTGAGCCCTTTGGGAGTGGATGTTGGACAGAAAGCAGCCTGGTGTGTAGATGCATAAGCCACAGGAGCTTGATATCTCTTAATGCACCATTTCATAGTGGGAAAACAGCACTGCTTTTGCAAAGAAACCTTATCCTTGGGTGTTTCTGTTCTCATGGCAGGGCTGCTCACCGTGCCCACCTGCTTGGTTCTGCGCTTGGTACCAAACCAAACCACTGTGAACTTGGGGTGCTGTGTAGTTTGGTGCTTTCAGCCCCTGCTGGTTGGTAGAGGCCGGGTTGCAGCAGATGGAAGCTGTTTGATGTTGTCAGTGCAAATAAGCAGCATTGCTTGTTTGTTTTTGGAGAAATGAACCCCAAAACTGCAGGCCTGCTGCCTGTAGCACTGGAAACACAGGCATGCACTGGTGGCTGAGTTAGTGCATGTTGCTCTGTAAACAGGCAGAAGAGCTGTCAGGGAGATTGTGCTGTTCTTGGTGCTCTTACCAAGCAGGTTTTTGGTTTGGTTGGTTGGTTTGGTTTTTTTCCCCTCAGAAAAGAGTAGGAAGAAACTGCCTTCACTGTGTGGGTTGAGTTCACATGTAATAACCTAAGAATAATTTGGTAGAGAGGTGTCACTTCTGCTCTAAGGGGAAACTGTGTGCCATTGCTGCTGGGTTGCACAAGTTGAGGCCAAACCGTGTGGTGCTGGCAGCAGTACTGTGCCCGGGGCTGAGCTGTGTGCTGCTGCTCAGCAGGTCCTGTGATGGGAGCCCTGAGCCCTGCTACAATGCAGCCCCTCACTGTACGAGGCACTGGTTACATCCCCCCAGCTCTGCCAATGGACTGAATTCAAAGTCAGGCTTTGAATGACAGTTTGAGAGACTAATTCAGCTCTGAGGCCAGACTGCCTCTTCCCAGCAGAGCATCGGTATCCGAGTCCCTGGGGTGGCTCATCTAAAAACCTCCTCATTAAGAAAAGCACTTGGGAAAGGTGGTTATAAGATGACAGAAGCAGAGCTTGAGAGGAACAAGCTTAACTCCCTGTGTACCATTCACCTCCTGCTAGTGGTTGTTTTACATTGTAAAATGAACCCACTGTGAATTGTTGCACAGGAATAATTTTATCGGTGAAGACCCGCTCTGAACAACAAGTGTCCAAGCTGAAGCAGGTGAACCTGAAACTCGCCACAAAGGTTGAACAACTTCAACACAGCTGTGTGGAGAAGGTAAGAAAACACTTTTAAATTAATCATGCTTTACCTACCAGCTGCTCCCAAGAACAAGCTGGCCTGGGATTCTTTTGCAAGCTTGTTGCTGCCAGCTTGGTTTCCTCATCAGCAAGTTGTGAGGTTGTGTCTGTGAGGAACCGCAGCCTTGCCTCTGCTTCCCTGAGTGTTTCTGTTTCAAAGGAATGACGGCTACCTCTGTCCTACTTGTGTTAGCCAGGTTGTCCTGTTTTCCTGCAGTGAGACACGTTCCAGCAATGGGAAGATCTGTAGGAATCTAGGAAACTACTTTAAGGTCAGAGCTGTGTGAACGGGGTGACTTTTGTCTCCAACAGGAGCAAGAAATTGAGAGGCTTACCAGGATGTTAAAACAGCACGGGCTCATCAGCGAGCAAACGTAGAAGGCCAGTTTTCCAAGGTGGGGAAGTCTGCCGTGGCGAGTGCAGCGTTGAAACGTATCAGATTGACCTGAAGGGTTTTCCTCTCTGCCTGCTTTCTCTGCTGTAGTGTTTCTGTAAGTGTTTTCTATCTGACCACACTTTGATTAGATCTTGGGATTGCGAAAATAGCTTTACTGGAAAATTAAATGAGTGCTCCCTGTAAACAGTGACTCCACAAGATCCTTGTACAGCTGTACAGACAAGTGCAAAATAATTTAATAAAGACACAACTTTACAAGCTGTACATTCAGGAAGTACCACTCATTTCAAGGAATTCTGTTTTTCAGTGATAAGGTTCTTTGTTTTGCATCACCTTGTAGAAACTTGCTGTAGCAGACGTAAGAATCCAGGCTGGAAAGGTCATTTCATCTCTCACAGCTGACCATTCACCACTGCTACATCTCTTCTTTGCTAATAGTTCTTTTTCACGCTGCTGGTTGATTCATTTTCTGTTGCTGCTTGTGCCACTTCATTATTTATGTAATCTGACTTCTTTAGCTGGCAATCACATGAGCACCAAAATGGAGGCAAACACATGCCATCTTATGTCAAACAATGCTTGATTCTCAACAGATCTGAGTTCTGATCCTGTATTCTATCATCTCTTCTTCCATTTAAGTGTTCGTTTGCAGCCTGCTGGGCTACAAAGTCATCTGCTTCCACAGCTCATAAATCAACACATTAAAGGAATCTGTAAGACAAGATCTAGGTGAGTGGACTTCTGGGAACAGTTAGAAAAATAAATTAGGAAGCACATTCTAAAGGACTAGGCTGGTGTCTGAATACCATGTCAACTTGTTCAGGTACTGGCAGCCCTGGGGTATTTTATAGTTAAAGAGTGAGATTTGAGGAATAGGAATTTCAAAAGGTGTTGACTGCAGCAGGCTTCTCCAATTGATTTTAGCCACAGCCAGCTGGAGGGTCACTGAACTCTTCTGAAAGCATCATTTAACTGTTCACATTTTTAAAAAGAAATGTAACAAATTAGTGATTTGGGGAAAATAACCAGGAATGTGTATCTCATTCATCTATAGAAACAGATAAAGCGGAGGCCTTATCTAATGCCACATGATTAATTAACAATTAGCTCTGCTGTTCACAGAATAATAAAGCCTAGTTTCCTATGGAGCTGTGCTCCTTCCCTTTCTTTCCCTTTCTGCCTGCTTGCTGTGAGCCCCAGACCATTGATCTGGGGTGAGCTCAGAGTGCCCAGCTGCTGGCTGAATGTGTGCTGACAGGCCAGCTTGCAGCCCCCAAGAAGCTCATGTGCAACATTTTTTCCTCCCAGCAGAAGTGCAATTGGTGCAACTCATCACTCATGCTTCTTTCTCTTTTTTCCCCTGCCTTAAAGCTTTTGAGAACCCTCAGGAGGGCTCACTCACCTTTTCTTCTATTGAACAGTTTTTAATTCGGCATGCCTACAGTTTGGAAGGAAAGGCTGGCCAGCACAGTGACTGGATAAACCTTGCTTCTTTGGGAAATGGATTAAAAATAGAAAAAGAAATTAATTAGCTTTTTATCCTTTTTTTTTTTTTTGGCTTGGGCACTTACCTTAGACAAATGGGAAGAAAAAGTCATGGGGTAACTTGGCATTAATGGTGGGCCAAGCTTTATAGCCTGGTTCTGCAGGTGAAGAAATATCAGTGAAAACAACAGAACTTGTTACAGGAATAGTCCTTTCTCTTCCCAGAGGAAGCTGCAATGAAAATACAAACAGACATTAGCCTTGCTCTTCTCCTTGTATGACTGCTTTGTTTAAGCTGAATTCTGTTTTTTGCTGTTATTTGCAATAAGGTTTTTCCATGTATAGTTCCACAATTCTTTTCATGGCTGATGTACAAATTTTACTGAAGCTTTGGCAAGCTGCCCACAGTCATGTTTGAGTTGGAACAGAATCTGGTGGGTGTGATATGTTCTAATATAAAGTGTTATCTTTAGAGAGATTAACCAGGTCACTGTTGCACAGCTGATACCTAAGCAAAACAAGCCATTCTTTTTATCTGAGATCCTGTAATTTAATTACATACCTGCTTCAATGTAGTAGTAGTGATTGTTGCTGTAACATTTACTATTCTGGCTTGTGGGTTGACTAGGGATCCGTATTTAGTCCACTTCACTTCTATGTCAAGTGCTGCTGGTATTTGGCAGGAGCTCTGAAAAGTGTTAGAAATCCTCTCATTGTCTGACTGGTACGGGAGCAACCTCATGCCTTATTCATCTTATTAGCTGAGCACAGTGCCCCCAGGAAGCTCTCTGCAGGAGGTCAGCAGAGCAGCTCAGCCGTGCCTGCGCCCTGCACTGCTGCCTGCACAGACAGCACAGCCACAGCTTGGGGGCGTCTCTGAAGTTTCTCCATAGGCGACAAACTGACCTCGTAAGTGAACTTCAGGTAGGGCTGCTGGATCTGAGCAGGGCTTTGGCTGTTAATGACAGTGCTGAGCTGGCTCTTTTCAGCAAGAAGGCTTTCCTAATAGTGGCATCTTAGTAATGTGGTTGGGACAGCAGAAAACCCTTAACTTTGCCAAGGCAGAGTTTTGAATTTTATAACCTTAAATATTTCTAGATTATTTCTTTTTTAACTCTCATGTTCCTGTTTATAGAAATCATTCACTGTTCAGCTGCAAAAAAGATGCAAAAAAACCTCTACAGAAGCTGCAGTTGAGGATGAACTGTCATTCAACCCACTCAAAGTAGCATAAGTGCTCTCTTTACATTAAGAGGGAAATGTTCCTTGTTTCTGAATATTGCAGAGGAACTGACCTCCAGTTTGTTTGTTTGTTTTTTTTCTGCACTTTTTTTCGTGTAGGTCTGAGAAACCTAAGCTGAGAACAGGTTCAGATCCCAGAACAGGAGATAGAAAGGGTGATAGTGGGGGGGAAGAGTTAATCTTCACCTGTTCTGAGATGCGAAGGTGAGTTATTGGCACCCAGTCAAGCACATCCTGGGCTTGAGAATTTCCAAATGAGGCCACATATTCAGGAAAGCTTTGTCCCATCAGTAAATCCAGGAGGATCTGAGCCAAGGGCTGGCAATTCATAGCTGCTGTAATTCTTCCGGGGGGAGGGGGGGATAAAAAAAAAAAGTTACAGCAAAATCCATTGGTTTGGCACAGAAGTAATTCCTCCTTGCTGTCATGCACTGCTCAAGCCTTCTGGCTAAAGTGGCTAATGTGAACAATCTCTCCAAGAGAAAGAACGTTGTTAATTAAATGATATTTCTTATAATTAAATACTCTATTCCCAATACTCTTACAGCAGCATGAATGTCCCAGGATGTGAACAGATCCTAATGGAAAGAGTTGTTGTGGGGCTAAAAGCACTGAATAAGGAAACAAAAAATTCTCTTACCGTAACTTACAGCCTGATATCATGTTGTAACCAAATAACACTGGGGTTCTGGCTTCCTGTGCTGTGAGACAATCTTGGTTGGCTGTGCTTTGCAGAATAGTGAGCTGACTGTATTTGTTGGTACTCTGAATGATGCCTGATGTAATGCACAGTTAAAGGGAAACACAATACTTGAGGACTATGAAGAAAGAATCTGTAGTCAGATCCTTAAGATTTATCTAAAATGCTGCAGTAACCCAAGACTCCTCTTAAACCATGGAGAAGCATTAGAGCATGCAGTGAAGATCTGAGTCTACCTCACTGCACAGTTCCAGGAGATTGCAGTGAGGACAGGTACTGATCACTTCTAGAACACAGCCAAAAATCATACATTTACTTTCAGTAAGGAACTGATGAAATGTACAGGGTGTCCAAGCTAGAAAGTCTTTGTGAAGTTGGAGCAGAACAAGTGTTGAAAGCAGAACTGCAGAGGGAAAGGATATCCTTGTGGCTTGAAGCCTGCTCTTACAGCCAGTCCAACAACATAACCAGGATTACCACTGAAAGGAACTGGATTTGTATTCACCTGCAACACAGATTTACAGTATTACTCATCTTGTGCTGAAATATTTGGAAAATGGTAAAATGTTTCAGTGTTCTTCCAGTTATTAACTGCTTTGTACAGCAGTAAAGCTTCGCTGTAAGAATATTCCAGTTTTCTGATAGTGGGATCAGCTTTGCTTTCTCTGGATATGCTCGTACACAGTGACAGGATGAGTCTTCTGCACACCAGTAACAGTCTCTGGAGGCCCTTAATGCTCACTTCTGAAATGCTGCCTCATCTGTGTCCCCAGGACAAGTTACATTTTTACCTTGCTGCTAACAATTGCTCTGATTCAAGTTTAATAAGTTTTGTAATTAAATGTCTTTCACCAAGTCATCCATAACATCTCTAGCAGGTACCTGAGTAAAGCTGATTTCAAAGCTCTGTTGTATTGAGAGTGCTTCTTTGTTAACTGCTCCCAAGACAAAAGAAGCAGCTGCTTCTGTTATTTCTCCTGTGTCTGTGTATGTAATATGATAACTCACCTGAAAATGAAACATTTTAGATACTAATTAGAACAAGTAGATAAGAGTATGGAACTAAAATAAAGGAATTTAAAACTATATAAGTATTGTTTTCCTTCCTCCTTGTTTAAGAAACACTCAGCTGCATTGTAGAGATGTACTCTATCCTCAGTTGCAATAAGAATGGGCTCAGAAAATAGAAGAAGCTGAACAAGAGCTTCCCCCTCAAAATAAAGCAGTATTTTCAGTGCTTGTTATTTATTCTATTTTGCCCATCATTTCTGACCTCAGAAGAGAGGGAGTTTTAAGGCCACGAGAAAAGCTGTAATTTGATCTGACAGAAGCATAGCATTTGCAAAGAAGTTAGTAGCCACATCAGCATATTTAGGACGTGACTGTTACCAAATGAAGCCACTGATTAGCAATGTTTAAAAACAGATCTAGGTTTGGAGCCTCTTCAAAGCTGAATTCTTGATAAACTTCTAGGTGTAATTCAAATGCTCATCTACTTAGGATAAAGAGGTAACCTGCAGTGTGTATTCCTCTGTCTCTGCTACCACTGTGCCTTAAGTCATATTCTCCTAAGGGTAATCTGGATTCTAAACTCATTTATTGTCCATTGTGTTATATATGTAGAGCAATAATAAAAAATATTTCATCTTGACTGGTATTATTTTGTTGCAAAATGTATTCTTCTATCCTAAAGTCTGTGCTTCTCTTGTGATACTAGCTTTGGAGGTACCACAGTCTATGAAAATGGCAAGGCTTCTCTCACATCTTTGTAAGCTGTGAATCAGAAGTTATTTGATGCACACGTTTTCCACTAAACAAAAGAGGGAAAGGCAAATGTCATACCTACCCCAAGAACTACATTTATGCATAGTTCATTCAAAATCACAGGGTGCCTGAGGACATCACTGCTGTTAAGTAAAGTCTGCATTCCATTCAGAGACTGGACAACTACGGACCGGACAGTAATGTTAACCTGAAAAATAATCAGCATCATTTCCAAATATGATGTATAATTATTTCTGGCTTTTTCTGTATCGTTACATTTGTGACTCTTCAGAAGTTCTGCTCTGCAGGGCCAGCAGTCAATAGTCCTTTAAGCAAGCATATTGATGAAGTTCAACTAAAACAGCAAATAAAATTAGCCAATAGTTTCATGTTGGGGTACTCCATCAGATTAAAGTTACCTGCAGATAGCACGTTATCTTGTTGGTAGCACGTTATCTTGGTGTTGCTAATATTATTACTGAATAAAAACTGCAGCATTTTTGTCCCAAGGCAGGTACAGGGGATTTTTGCTTTACTTTTTGCTCTAAAGAACAAGGCTGAAGTCACTGGTCTGATGAAGTCAGTGAAAAACTCCCGCTGCCTATAACAGAGTAAGAAGTTTACCCCCACCAGTTCCAAGTTAGAAAGATACTTACCATCTGACTTGATTTAGGCACCTAGAGAAGAATAAAAGAGCAATTTCAAACAACAGCAAAGGTATGAACTATTACAAGTAGCAGTTAAGTAAAGCAATTAAGGTTTAATTGCTTTGCCTGTTTAACTCCCTGTCATTACAGTGATTTTTGAATACTGAGAGTCATTGGATACACCCTGCTGTATTTAGGGAGTGTGAAAATAACTGCTATTTGTGGCTACTATGCAAAATCTTACAGTTCAGTGCTCTTCCCCTGGCAACTGGAAAGTTTCTTAGTGACTACCAGCAGTTTTCCACCAGGCTGAGCTTTGTCTGCACTCCTAACAAACATGCAAGGCATACAAGAAGTACAAGACAAATCTAATATTTCCCTCTGACGCTGATTGCAACTCAGAACGAAGGCTGAAAAAATTCATTTGCACCCGAAAGGAGAAGGCACCTCAGTATGGCATTACTACTGCTGTGTATCATTTTGTTGGTCCTCAGGGTGTTAGAGAACATTCTTCGTACTACAAGTCTGTGCAAAAACATTTGTAACCATTCACAGAATGCTAATTTAGGAAATCTGCAAGACTGTACCCAAAGAAGAGCTTTTGTTGCCCCATTCTCATGATAGTGAGTCCATAATTTCATGGTCTCTAAACAGATAAATGAGAAGTTAAGTATCCCTCTGTCATTACAAGTGCACGGTTACACGCGGTCACTCTGCTGGAAAGGCCTTCGTATCTCTCAAGCTGCCTCGTGTGAGCTCCTAATGATGGGGTTTTCTGAAAGGAACACTTGTGTGACTGCTCACCAAAGGCTCCCGGCCTCCCTGGGCTGATGATTTCGCCATTTCTTTTGCCACTAGCTCCACCTGCTGGCACTGAAAGGGTTCCCTGCTCTGCCCTCTGACCATCCCAAAACAAAATAATTTTTGTTTTCACGTCCCATCTTCACAAGGGGAGCTGCCTACAAACCAGCTTTACTGTCCATTTGGCCCTCTCTAATATTCCTCAACATTTGCACAGGGGACTTCTGTATAAATATGAACCTCCTGTTCAAAAAAGAATGAAAAAGTAACCTTAGCTTTGAATAACAGCCACAGACTGGATTTGGTAGTAGGCTGGATATGAACATGTTCTCTCTCAGAGGAGTAAAAGGTCACATTCTTTGAGGAGTATAATGAAGATCATTGCACACGTGTGCATTAACTCTACATTAACACCATTATTAAAAACTGAAGACTATTCAACCTTACAGATTCTTTAAGTACAAAGATTTACATGCACAAGCACATAAAACTGCTGCCACTGCAAAGTTAGCTCAGTGACACAAGTTTCTGTCTTCCAGACCGTTACTTTCGCTGGCTAAGCAGACAAGGGTAAATGCTTCTGTTACTTCAGCATGAAGTAAAAACATTTCTAAAAGCTTTCTATCTGAAACTCTGCTGGATTTTTTCTAACCCATGGTTTAAATACCAAAAACAAACATCATATCCTGTAGGCAATAGCAGTTACTTCATTCTGGAAACGCAAAACACTATGTAATATGGACAGTCAGCTGTATGATGCTTTCAGATCACACTTACTGCTAAAATGCTGGAGTTGATGTAAAAAAGCATAGTAGCTGCTTCAATGTTGCCACAGTTTTCCACGCTGATTGATCGAATGCATTTTGTAGCCTGCTGCACTAAGAACCCTGGAAGAGAGTCACAAAGTCTTGCTGAAGGAAATTAAAGACTAATTATGAAAAACACAAGTAAAAAACTACGGAAGAACGTATTTAACAATAACAAAGGGTCTTGGAAAATGCAAGCTTCTTTTTGGTTGTTATCCTTTACAGATTTCCAAGAAACTGAAAGTTCAAAATGTAGGGTTCAAGTCTGCAATTCTGACTGCAGTTGCATTCAAACTGTGAAAGAAACCTCATTCTGTTAAAGAGATGTCTTAAAGAGGTTGCCCAGTTAGGTCATGCTTATGCAACACACCCTCACAGTGTCACCTTTGTACTGCTTCACTACATCAATTAAATCAATTATGAAGTCAGTGGTGTTTTACTGTTGCATAAACAAAACATTTAAAAGAGATACCAACCAAGGATTCCCAGTTCTAGCTCTGAATGTCTAACAGCTGCAATACGACTCCCAACCTACGTCCAAAAAAACCTCCACAGACTCAAAAGATATCTGGAAAACGTTTGTTCACAAATCTTCACCTGAATTTACATTGGTGTGTGTGATGGTTCACTGACTGATTAAACTCAAGTTAGAACAGAATATTCTACTGCAAATAAACTGGAATTTAACTGCATTTTCCAACCTGCAGGGTTTGCATCAGAGCACCAAGAGGAGACGACAGGACTTGGCAGCCTGAGAAAAGCATCCACCGTCTGTATAGGAACCCCATACTGCAAACAAAATGCCATATTCAAATATATGGGTGTATTTTGGTTCATGGAAAGTTTTAGAGCATTTGCATGAACAGCAAATCTGTATAACAGAAGTTCTTTTTTCCATTACATCTGTCAACACCACATACTGCTTTGCATGTCAATTCTTAAGCCACCACTAACAGCTTTCTTTGTTCAGAACAGCCAGTTACTTTTCTCAGATCTTAAAACTCCAGCTCACTTTTGAAGAAAGCCAAAACAACACTACAGTTTCTTTCTATATTTCTATGTTTAAAGAACAAAACAACGATTTTCCTTTTACAGTACTGCAATTTTTTACAAGCAAATGCAAACAATGCCCGCTTGCTTTTTTACAAAGCAATTTAATACTACTTGAATCATGCTATCATGTACCTCATATCTGTAACTTTCATTTGCATCAGAAGAATCTGAAGCATCTGAGTTCATACTCCAGCTGTCGGGCTCAGCACTGAAAGTAGCCCTTCCATACTTTCTAAGCAGCTGATCAAAATTTTCAGCAGTAGGTATTTCAGGGGAGCTAAAGGAGAGTGCTTGTTCATCTGCCAAAACATTTTAAAGAATGAGATGACTTTTAGGATAAAACATATAATCTTTCTTAAGGAAAATGTCGCTTTTCAGCTCTTGATTCGCCAATGGAAAATAAAATTAGATTAAAATTGTTAATTAAGCTTCGTTAGAGCCAGGAGCATACTTTCAACAGAGAAGACTAAGACTTGGAGTACGAGACAGTTTCACAAATAAAAGTATTACAACATAAGGACCACGAGCACAGAACAATCAGTTTTCTGATAAGTTTAGTTATTGTTAACTTCAGTCTATTTTTGTACCCAGAGAGCTTCTAAAAACAGGTGTCCAATGCTTAATATTGGCAATAACATTACTTACAGTTTGTAGCATGAATGCAGAAAACACTGGGATTTACATGGTCAACTAATTTAAAAACTCTTTCTGGTGGATTTGCTTCAGTATCAAGTGAATATATGGCAGCTTTCTGACTACAAAGACGGCTGTCACCTCTGCAAGTAATAACAAAAAAATCAGTGATCCACTAGAAGTTACTACTGACCATATTTTAAAGTTCTCTTTGTGTGCTGAGGCAGCAAATGGCAGAGTTACAGCAGTCAGTGGCAGGTACTGAGAAAGTGAAACAGCTTTCCAAAATGACCTTTTAAGCACAGAGCTAAACTTAAATGCTGGCTACCAGGATCACATCCTGTATCAAACACCCTTTTTCCTCAGTATTTCAGATGCAATACATAACCTCTCACTTCTGATCAGGCAAAATCCGTTCAACGATTACCACAATTACACAAATGTACATAAATCCAAATGTAAATAATGAGATCCACAATACTTGCAGTCATTGGAAATTTCATGCAAAACGAACATTTTATAGAACAGAATTTTTGGGGACAACTACAACTTCATTTTATGCATTTCTAGTTGACAAAGACAGAACAGTCACCTGAGGCAATTTAACTGTCATTCAGGAAGGCGTTGATTAGACCTTTCTGATACACCTAAACATCTATAAATGGGTAGCAGTAGTCATTATGTGCAAGAACAATAAGAAATGGCAGTCTGGGATGACTGCTAATTCAAATTTCAAAGCACCAAGAATAAACCCCAGCATTCAGATTGGCATAATTTATGCAGAAGGTGGGTTGAAGTGCTGTACTTATTGTTCTGAGAAGTCACCAAGAGATTTTACATTGAGATAACAAAGTGAGCTTTCATAACTCCTTTTTGAGAGGATGGAATTAAGTAAAAAAAATTAGGTTTTCAGATAAACTGTAAATAGCAAGGAAGTAACCAGCAATGTTACTTTATGCATATAAAGTTACATTTTATTGTTTGTAAAGTGACAGACTGGCAGCGAGGCAGCAGGCTGAGACCACTGACTTGTAAAACTAGGATCAGAGCAACACTCACACCATTTCATTAAGCCCTGAATTGATCATGTTTCTAGTTGATACTGTAAACCTCAATTAGAGGTTACTGAGAAGCTGCTGCTGGATTATGGAGGTGGCCAGATGGTCGTGTGGCATCAGCTTTCTTAAATTCCAGACACTGCATTATATTGATGAAGGTCTGAAGATACATTCTTCTTCCTTCAATGCAAGGCTTCATCAGTAAAGCACCCACGCACAGTAGGACAGAACAACAGGAAGAAAAAGGAAGAAGCACAAATTTAGAAAACAGGGAATGAGAAATAGGGCTGGGAGGCCAATTTGCTGTTCTGCCTGGTTGGGAGCCAAAAGTTTACAGGCCTAAGGATTGGGGAAAGGGTAGGAAGGGGCTAGGAAGGCAGGGGAAGAGACTGGTTAGAAATTCGTCAGAGGAGAATATAGGGCTCATACAAATACATGAGACAAATCAAACTGAATTTTGTATTTCAGATAGTTGTTTGTTCACTTACGTGACAACTGGAACTGAACACGTAGTAAAGAGACTGAAATCTGCTGCACTGCAGTCAGGGTCACAACAGCAATTTATATCACACTGTGCCACCAGCAGATCACAAACACACAGCTTGGCAACTGGAGAAAAGATTTAAATTCCAATTAGGACTGGAACTTTGCACACTACAGCATGTTCCCTAACACTTTCAATTTTCACCTCGCCTGATTTTGACAATGGGCAAAAGTCTATATCCAAATTCATGCTGGTTTTTTGTGTGTGTTTTGTTTTTTTTTTTTTCTCCAAGTCATTTTTAAAAGCTCTTTTCTGTCACTTAGCAAATCCATGAGGAGCAAATAACAAAACTGAGAGCGTACCAGAATCTGACATTTTTTTTCCCTATGAAATTGAAAAAGCAACTGGAGTTTATAGGAATTTTGAAGGTATAAAGGTATGAAACTGGGTCCTGCTCAAGAAAAGATACAAACAAAGCAATGATGCTACATTTATCTGTTTGTTACAAGGTAGTGAAATTATGTTTATCAATTTGCTTCATATATTTGGAAGAAAAAAAAGTCGCAACATTTTGATAAGAGCAGTGATTTACAGGTATTGAGAATGTTCTGGAATGCAGAAATACATTTCCCTGATGTGCCAGCATAACCAGAGTTGACCTCTTTGTTTTTTCTCTCTGTCTTTAGATACTGTTAAATATTGTAACAATACAGAAAGCAATTTCTAGCAATACTGTAAATGGTCTACATTAAATAAATTTGGCAGCTTCTTAAAAAAAAACCTCTTAGGTTTTCCAGTTTACATATTCAAAGAATATTTAATATTTTATTGAGCTGTTGTTGAAAGTTGCTGTTCCGTAATAAATCTAAACTTAAGGGTAGCACAGACACTGCAGACAAGATTTCAAAAGAATGCTTCCTTTCAAAACTATCCCTCTTTTATTTCCATCTGACTATTTCCCACTTCTCCTGGGCCGCCTGGATGCTCTCTGACCATCTGAACAGTTCCCACACCGTTCCTGGAATCTCTGAGGTGGTGTTGTTCTGTCAGCTGAGTTTTGATGGAACCTTGAGGTCACCTCAACAAGAGCAGTTTGAACACAGACAATGAGACTGCGAATTTCTCTCTCGGAGTTGGAGGATTTAGGGCTCTTTTCCCTAAGGAGGCACAGACTGGGACAACGTGTTTTGAGAGAAACTGTGCTGGTGACAACTACACTGGGAAATCAGAAGTTAAATAAAAGTCTACTTGCCAACTAAAAGACAGCGGGAAGCCCTTTCTGACACCACAATGACAAACATTTGTGATCGGTGTCGTGATAGCACTGCATATCAAAGAAACAGGACTGGATTTCAAGTTTGGGACAAACTTGTGCCACGGCAATAAACACCAGAAGGAAGCAGGGCAGCTGCCTCACAGTTTCATCCTAGACAGAGGAGCCCCAAGGGCCCAGCAGTGAGCGGAGGCTCCCACAAGGTCCTGAGAGGGCCTCCCCTCGGCCAGGCGCCGCACAGCCCCCCGCCCCACCCGGCACCCACCGTCCGTGAGCGGGGCCGGCCCGCTACGACCCCGCTCCCAAGCGGTAGCACGGGTCTTCGATGGCGCTTCTGAGCTGGACGGGAACTCGGTGCTGGGCTCGACTGCCCGAAGCGGCGACAAGAAAAGAAGCAGGCCAAATCTCAGCTCCGCCGCCATGACGGCCGCTGCTACGCCGCCCCCAACGACAGCCTAGGCCTCCCCTAGCAACGGCCAAGGCCTCCCCTAGCAACAGCGTGGTTGCCAGGGAGCGCGGAGTGTGATGGGAAACAGCGCCCCCCTGCGGCCGCTGGGCATCACGGGAAGCGACGCGGGGTGTTATGAGGGGTTGTGTAGGAGCGGCCCCCCTTGGAGTATAAAATCCCGAGTTTAGCGGGTCTTTGCAGCTTTATTTCTAATAATGTGCATTTCGTTAGCTTTTAAAGTTTATCAGTTTCTTCTCCTCAGCTCCTTCGCCTTGTCAGTACTCTGCAAGTGGTCCTGGTATGTCCCTTCTAGCTCTGAACGTTCTGTGGTAATTAATCTTGTGGTGTAGGAGGGTGATTTTGTACCGATCTGATAGTTGGGAAATCTGTGCTTGACTTTTACACAAACGCCTGTAGTTCCTTGGTGTTTCCTCAGAAATGCCAAGCTCCGGGCTTTGCTTCCACTCCACAGCCTTTCTCACTTGGCCTGGCAGCCTCCTCACGAGGTGCAGGGCAGGGCTGGCTGTGCTGCTCTGAACGCTGCGGCCTCTCGAGCCCTGCCTCACAAAGCAGGAGGCACAGGGTGTGGAATTCAGCTGAGGGAGTTAAAAGAGCTGTAGCTTTGAGACTCAGGTGGCTTTAGGTAACCCCTAAGGAAAGGAGGCTTATTTTCCTGCCTGCTGAAAGGCAGGTGAAGCTCTTTTCCTTCCTCATGGTTGAGTGAAGTTTCCACATCCTCTTGCTTGAGAGAAAGTAAAATAGATTTTGAAGCTTTAATTCTAACTACCGTCATGCTTGTCCTGCCTGCAGGGAGAGTCTGACCACATGCCTGCTCTCTCTCCTTCACTGTTAGGTGTTAAAGAGCAGGCATCTCTTTGGGTGAGTCTGATTTAGGGGCTTACAACCCCTTGAAATTCCTTGAGTGATCTGCTCCCACCTACCACACAGGGTCAGGCAACAAGCATAAAGGTGTTTCTCCTACCTCTTGAACTTGGAATTTAGTTTGTTGTTTTAGAGGGAAATTGGTGCTCTACTGTTTATCATCACTTGTTCAACAATGTTATCATCAGGTAATTAATAATGAATCACCCCCCACTAGTTTACACTTCTCTTATGGATTTAAAATGAGTAAAAAGAGCTGTTGATAATGTACAAGGGAAAATAGAATTTAATATGTTACTTTTGCACACAGAATAACTTTGTGAAGCTGATTATACACAATGGACCAGAGTCGTGGATAGCAAGTGCAAGCCTTGCTGAAATCTCTGGGCTCATCTCAAGAACAGATTGAACCCTGAGTACATGTGGGAAGGAGCTGGATGAGTAAAGAGGTATTATTTCTTACCGCATCTACCACTGAAACTGGGAGGCTGTTCAGTAGGAACATACAGAGCAATTAATCTATTTTTCTCATGATGTTTTTCCTCAGAAATAACCTAGGACTTTTCTCAGACCAATAGTTCACCTAACCCCATCCCCAAGACTGGCTGTGAAAGAACGGGATATAGGATGAACATAGGTGTTGTGTTACTTGACTTTCCATTTTATTAATGCTTAAGTGATTAATTAATGAATTCCTTACCACTGGGATGTGGTAGTTCAATAAAATCATGAATTCCTTCCAGAAATACTTGCACAAACAGAATGCAATAAGTAAAGTCATTGCTGAAAGAAGCTGGGAGGAAAAAAAAATCTGATGCAGAAAAAGTCAAAGCAAAAGCCAAGTATAAGAGAGCTCATCTGAAAAATCCTACTACCACAAAAATAAACCAAACCAAAACCCCATCACTGTGTTAGACTTCTGAAGCAGGTTCCAAAAAGCAGCACCCCACAGCGTGTAGGACAAGATCAGGACATTAATAAATAATGCATGTCCTCCATCAGAGATATTTTAATTTATCCATCAACATGAATTAATTAATAATTTAAAAGGGCACTATGATACCCATGTGGGAATTCCTATGAAATGAAAATCCAAGCAGTTTAAAATGCAGTAGATTGCTCTCTATTAAAAAACATGTTAAGGGATTTACTGTATTACTATTTTACTTTAAGCAACAAGGTTCTGATGTGTTTGAACATCATAGTGTGCCATTTGCAATCCAAACATTGCAGGATTAAGTCCATCAAGTGACTGATCATAAACACAAACAGAATTCACACACGTGTCTTTCATGAGATGCTAAAACAAAGCAAAAAACATTACCCAAATTTCAGTTTCTCTCATTTAAGCATATTTTACTAATTCAGTAAAATTCATTTTCACTCATATAACTTACACCACAGCCCTTTCCTTCTAAAACTGTTTCAAATAGTTTAATTACTGCTACACATACAAAACTATTGTTGTTCTCAGAACAAAAGACAGTAGAGTCATGTACCAATCAATACCCATCCTGAATGTGCTTAAAAATATTCAAATCTAGGTGAACAAACGGGCAAAGTCAGTATGTTTCTCTTCAGTGTTTCAGTTCAGTGTGTCAGAAATTCTGCTTATGGACACGTATCCTTTTGATTAAACAGTTCAATTTTATTTTTGGAAGTTTGAGCTAACTCAGAGTAGGATTAGTTTAATAAACATGGTCCTCATAAATTAGTGGGTGAGGTGTTCAAGCTGTTTGTTGGCTGAGCCTGTGCTGCTCTCTTTGAACACATCATACACAAAGCTTTTAACAGACTTGGAACAGATTTCAGTGTGAGGAAGTTTTCTGTAACAAAAAGTACTCATCAGACCCACTGTTGTGAAAGAGCTCCTATAGGAAGTGGTATCATTCCTGGTACTTTAAAATTAGGAAAAAATCCTGCGAGGAAACAATTTGCATGTGCCTTAGTTTAAGTATGTATGCACTTAAATATGCATATTCCAAACACATATTTCCAGTTTGATCCATTCAAAACGCTGGCAAAAGTAACAGTCACCACTAATCTGCAGTAGCTTGTATCTGACAGAGAAGCTGGATAACTTAGGTGAAGTTCCAAAGGAACCAATGGAGAAATTGATGCATGAAATAAGTCAGCTCTCCCTGGGTATCACAGAGGTCCCATGTGGAGGTTCTAGTTGCTCACCCTGAGAGCGATCTCCTGACCCTGCATCTTCCATGTGGGCACTTCTGGTAACACTGTCATTTTTGCAGCAGTTTCCTGTTTGATATTAACTAAGCTGTCCTACCTTCTTTGCAAGGCAAACATGGTTTTTGCTCTGTGACAGATGACTTTAGAAATACAGGTGGACAGGCATTTTTAATTAAAGTCGAAACAAAGTTAAGTAAGCCTGAAGTGCATTCTGCTCTAGCACAACATTAACTCTTAAATAAATCGTGGGAAGCCTTGGAGCCATGTGCTGCCTCTGTACAGCAGATGGCATTACAGGTAATATTTATCATACTCCAATTCCAAGGCGAAGTAGTAGGGAGGGAGTACTGACGTCAGCTACAAGTGAATCAGTCTTAACACAGGCTGAAAAACTGCTTGTGCCTTCAACAGTCGATTACGTTGTACAGCATTTCTGCCTTGTGCTCCCCATCTCACTTATTAGTCTGTCTGAGCAAGCCTAGCAGGAAGAGTTCATTTCATTTTGCAGCTTAAACGAACTGATGTAAATGGATCTTGGACTTTGAGGTGGGAAGATTCCACCCAGCTGCTGTAACCAGGGGAATGCCCTTTCCTCCAGTTTTTGTGCCAAATTTGTGCATTTGAGAATTTTAAACAAATACCACTTGGCAGGATCTTGGCCCTGAGGGTACGATAATAGTACTGAGTGAGACAGCAATGTACGTACAGAGATCTATCAGTGCTGATAGTGAATACTAGGAAGAACCAATCCTCTTGTATTTCATTCAAAATGGGGGCTTAGTGGTGTTTTTTTCTCCCAAAAGCCGAGTGATCTTCTGAATGAAAGCAATAGCAATCTTTCATCTGGGGAACTGTCATCACAAGGAGTGAAAGAGTTCAGCAAAGGTTAATTATTATTACGTAAATGATGTTGTCTTCCTTGGCCGTCTGGACCAGCCTGAGTGGATGACCAGGGATGGAGGGATTATGAATTGCTCACGGCATGGCCTCGCAGGAACAGAGTCATGCTCTGCCGAGTGTATTTGACAGCCCTGCTCTCATGCTGAGTTTCTCAATCTGTGAGGCATGGCCGATTGATAAAGCGCTACAGAGCGTGTCCCATCCTGCTTCAGGGAATTCACTGCGATGGGGCATGGAGAACTCGTGCTCAGCTGGAAGTGAGGTGGGGGATTACAGATGGAGAAGCGGTGTGCAACCAGCCAGTGTAGGACAGAACACCTTGTGATGGTGAGAGCTGTCTCAGGGCACACCAGCACTGTAGGCAGGACTGAAATCTGGTGCCTTAAAGCAGGAGTTAGGCTGGATTGGTCTTAGCATAGAAGGGACCTGGACAAGAAGAAGGAAGAATGAGTTAAGGGAAAGAATGACTGTTGGGGAAACTCTGAAAATATGCACTTCCCTTTCCTGCTCTAGGTACGAGAGGAGGTGAGACAGCAACCCTGATGGCCATGGCAGCAGCACTCCTTTATTAGCAGCACGTTGGCAAAATGGGCTGTGCAGCAGTTTCCTAGTTCAGAAAGGCTGGGCTTAAGTTGGTCTTTGTGGTCTCTGCACTTTCTTTCTCCTCATACAGAATTACAAAGGGGCAGATTATTTTTAATGAAGTTTGGATACCATTTCAGCTTCAGGCTGAAGCGTTTCACACATTGCACACTTTAGCACTTCAAAGGGGACAAACATTGTCTCTCTGTCAAGGTGCACAGCAGCCAAATGCTCACTGTGCCTTAATGCTGTTAATGACAGTTCTTCAGCAATGCTCCCGGCGGGCTGGATCCCTGCTGTACACCGCACAGCTTTTCCTTTCACCAGCTTAGGGTTCAGCTTTCACACTTCCCTCTGCTTTATGCCTGCCTTTTGTTTTGCTCTTTATGTATCTCTGGGCACGCAGTGCAGCAGCCTCGTTAACGCAGCACTCAGTGCACGTTCAGGGCTGC